TGTAGGGAAGGAGGAATGATAGACCTTGAGGTTGGAGAAACAGAGATGAGTGAGGCATACCCACTCTCTAAGGAGTTTATGGGACAATAAGGGAGAGGACCAGCATGCACATAATACAGTAGGTGAAAGGAAGGAGAGTGAGATTTTAGGAGGGAGGGGTAGAGAATTGACGAGGCCTTAGGTTCTAAGGGAAAATTGTGGTGTTTTAATAGGTACTAAGATGTGATGGAGACAGACTGACCTCACAGAGATCCAGGGTTGAATGCTAGCTCCATGTCCAATGAGCTCTGTTACCTAGAAGCTTTGTGACTTTGGTGAAGTTAGTTAACTTCTCTGAACCTGTTTCCTCATCTCTAAAATAATATGCTTACCTCAGAGTTTTGTTAGGAGAAATAACATAATTTTTAAGTATGTAGCACAGAAAGTAGTCTATTGCAGGTGCACAGTTCAGTAAATGTGAATTTTCCTTTAGAATATATAAAGATTGAGCACTTTAAAATCTCATTAGAATGTTCTCCTGAGTGTTAGGAATTTATTGGAAAATATCCCAAAGGGGAGGGCATGGATGTGAATGAAACATTTGGGGAAAGAAGAGGGAATTAAGATTAAATGGACGTGGTAGTGTTAGATTTTTAACTTGTTGAAAATGTAGTTTTCAATACTATTGTAAAGCATAAAGAAGACATACTTCACAATTTATGTATCTACTTTCTTGTTTATTTCTAGAGCATTTCTAACTTTAAACTTGTTTAACTATGAGAGGCTGGAGACATAGCCCCTCTCCTCTCTGTCTCTGTCTCTCACACATGCGTACACACACACCATTTATGTTTGTAAACTCAGATCTTATTGTTTTTGCTTTGATGAAATTACTTGTAAAGCTTTATTTTTCAAAAAGGAGCAAAGAGGGATAAACACTTTTGAATACAGGATTTGTGTTTAACATGATTGTCAAAGTGGAAAAGTTGAGAACAAGATGGATTCCAGTTAAGACAAATGCAATACAATACAATACAACACACAATATAATACCTCCGCATCCATAGTGGAGAATGTAAACACCATAGGATACGATGTAGAATAAACATTTCAAAAGGATGGTAGAAAACATTTTGGGGATCTAATGAGCCATACAGTAAAGAGAACACAGGAAGAGCCTAATAAAGTGCTGATCGCATACAAGTTAAGTGTCAGAGAACTGTTTCCAAAATGTATGACATGGCTGAGATGGGGAGAGCATAGAGACTGCCAAGAGAATAGTAAAAATAACAGTGGGATTTGGGAGTGGCCATAATTAGACAGGAGTAAAGCCTTGAAATTAGGCAGAATAATTAGCCTTGAAACCAGAGTCCTAGAGGAGAAGCATCTTGTCTTTCTCCATGTAAAAAAAAACCTTAATATTGAAAACAGGCAATTTCAGTCCTACAGGCATTTTAGAACTGAATTCATTTCAGTTCCGCTCACTTCCTCATTCATTATTTATTCATTCATTCATTCAGAAAATGTTTATTGAGCACCTGTTATTAAATGCCTCCTGCATACCAGACACTAGGTTAGGAACAGGGAAAGCCTTGGTGAACTCAATCTAATGGGGAAGGTGAGCAACGGCGCAAATGACTGCAGTTTGGTGTGATGAGTACAGTAAAGTAGCAAAGTGGCGGTATGTAGTCAAGGACTGGCACTGAATTAGGTGTTTCGGTGGGGGGGGAGATGGTTGGAGGTGGGAGTTCAGGTTTTTGTCATGATAATAAAGTCATCAAATGGTAAAGGGGTTGTCCTGGGAACAGATGGCAGATTGAGTGATTCTTAGGGGCGGTGCATGGTGTTTAGCTAGTGACAGTGTGGAGCATGGCTCAGAAGGAACAGAGAGTTCCAGCTCTGTGTTCCAGGCTAGATTATTTTCTCCAGAAAATGCTGATGGGGGCTGTGTGACTCTGTGCAAAGCTTTGATACTCATGCTGTGGTGCTGTACAGACCTGCCATGGATGTGCTCACGTACACCAAGATCCCTGTCTGACACCAAAGGCTGTCATATGGGAATTGTTAAATAAATTATAGTCTAAACTGTGGAATGTAATTAAGGGTATTAAGAAACATGATACTTATTATTTGAGAGAGGGTAGGAAAAGATCCAAGTTACACTGTTAAAAAGGGAGGAAAAAACATTAGCATAATATATAATTAAGATCTCATATGTGTGTGGGAGTATGTATATATTCAAATGAATTGAGAAATGTCTGCAGAAGTCCAGCACCCGCCAGCTATGTACCTATAGGCTACGCTATAGGGAAGGACAGCAGTGAGAGAAGAAGGGGGGGTGGGGACCTCTCATTTTTTATTCTGTGTTTTTCTATATGGTTCACAGTTTTACAACATCCATGGACTTCGTTTTGTAATTTAAATAAGAAATGAAATAATGCCTATGAAGCCCTGAGCACAGCATCTGCCATGTGGCTGGCAATAATATTAATTGGATATTAATACGATGGCAAGAAAATATGACTTGCTCAGAATGATTTAAATCTGCATATAGCATCATATTTATGGCTGTAAATAAGTGTTTTCTCTCTCTGCTAAAATGAAATGAAATAAATTGTGGTTAATAGATTTTAGGTTAAATAGGTATTCTGCTTATTTAAACATTTAGGATTTAATTATTCAAAGAGAAGTTTTGAATAGGAAGTCTTCCAAATCTAGGTAATATTAGACTTCGCCTAAGCACCAGAAGTTTCCTGTCAGTTAGGGTTGTCTGTAGAGAACTAAACTTTAAAAATATTTAACATTCAGAATTCATTGTTGTCTATCATTGAAAACTAAGGTCAAATCATTTTCTTTATGAAATTCCATGCCACAACAGCCAATAGATATTCAGTAAATTGAATTTAAATTTAATTTTGTGGTACTTTTTATTATAAAAAATTTGAAGTACACTGTAAGTAGATCATCTTGTATTATATTCATTTAGTCATTCTTGTTTTTGTGAAAAGTTATGGATAAATTGAATTGAAAATCCCATTGTATTCTGAAATGTACTTAGGACCTCTGTGAAAATTCTTCATGCTTTAAATTCTCCAAAAGCAAGACACAGTTGTGCCAGGGAGGTGACAGACCAAGTTGGGATCAAGAACACGGAAACTTCAAAAGCCATTTCTTTTTCTATGCTCATTATTTTACTGAGTGTCTTAAAACCTGTTTTTCTTTCTTTATTTTTATTGGATTGATATGGTGAAAAAATTTTTCCTGTGATGAAATAGCATATTTTAATAATTATATTTCCTTGATTTTTTTAGACCCCTATGTTTCTAAAATAGACTTACTATTTTCTAACCCTGATCTCCTGAGAAGCTGATTTAAATATATTGTGTGTGTTAGAATTGATGAAGTTTGGCATGTGATGTTTTATATTAAAGCTATAAGGCAAAGTTGAGGTATGATCCCAAGTAATCAGCTTCTAGGAGCCCCCCGGGGGGAAAATATCTTAGCAAAATTAAATGGCGTTTTTTTTGTTTGTTTGTTTTGTTTTTTTGTGGTACGCGGGCTTCTTCTCACTGCTGCGGCCTCTCCCGTCGCAGAGCACAGGCTCTGGACGCGCAGGCCCAGTGGCCATGGCCCACGGGCCCAGCTGCTCTGCGGCATGTGGGATCCCCCCAGACCGGGGCACAAACCCATGTCCCCCGCATCGGCAGGCGGACTCCCAACCACTGCGCCACCAGGGAAGCCCTAAATGGCGTTTTTTACACAGTTCATCACCAAACACTTGATACTCTGGTCTATCTGGCTGAGGGTAACTAGAGACTCACCTCAGCCCCTATACTATTGGTAATCCTATGAACTTTTGGGGGGTTTTACCCTCTCATTTCTAAATTAATCCTATTATTTAGAGATAATTATAGATTCACATGCAGTTGTAAGAAACAATACAGGGAAATCCTATGTACCTTTTACTCTCTTTTTCCCAGTGGTAACATTTTAGAAATCTGTAGCATGCTATGACAAGCAGGATGTTGACATAGACATAATCCATCAAATTTATTCAAGTTTTCCCAGCTTTACTTGTAATCATGTGTGTGTGTGTGTGTGTGTGTGTGTGTGTGTATAGTGAGTTCTGTGTCATTTTATCACATGTGCAAGTACCTGTATCCACGACCACAGTCAAGACAGGAAACATTTCCATCACCAACAAGGATGCCTTGTATAGCCCATTTATAAAAATACCCACCTCCTCCCCATGGACTTTTCACATATTGGGGATTTGGTGGTGGTATGTTTTTGAGTTACGTTCTGGGAAGTAACTGGTTTGTTCTTTCCCTCTGTCTTCAAATAAATAATATGAAAGTAAACCTTCTGTGTTCCTCCATTCTTGGCATTGTGCATCTCCCCGTGGCTTGGCAAAGGGACCAACAACAGGGACGAAGGGTTGCCTTGAGTGTGCAGTATTTCTAACTTGCTGAAGGCACAGAACCAAATTTGCCACCTCCGTTTCCATTCCCAGATTACGCTCGATTTGAGGCCAAAATCCATGACCTACGAGAGCAGATGATGAACCACAGCATGAGCTCCGGGTCCGGGTCCCTGCGAACCAATCAGAAACGCTCTCTCTATGTCAGGTAGGCAACAATGTATTTCTTACTGTGATCTGTACTTGTGAGCCATCAGCTTGGGGAGACAAAGGCAACGCCTTATAGCAACGGGACATGTGTTCTTGACTAACCTACACTTGTCAATACACCACTGTAAGACCTTAAGTTTAACCATTTTGAAGAAATTTTTGAAATGTTATTAATTATGTTAAATTAGTTAAAGCCCCCTGCTTTTAACAAGTTCTTTGACCACGTTGTGATCCAGGGTAAAGTTCTTAGCATAGGTTGTAGTAAAAATAATGAGAAGAAATATTTTCAGTTCTGATACATCTTAAATTGAATATGTGGGCCAAAGCCCTGGACATTGGCTTACCATCAGTATGGGAAGAAAATATTCTCATATTGCTTCCTGGCCTGCTTGACATCTATGCATTAACTTTGGTGTATTGACTGGAAATCAGAAGTACTCTCTCAAAGAGCTATGTGGTTTTTTTCTTAAAGTTTTGGTAGAATGACTTTCTTCTATGGCATCTCATTACCAGTTGATTCTCAAACCACAAAAGTTACTTGTTCCTTGCCTGTCAAAACTCATTAATTTACCAGAAGAAAAGGTGATTGATTGAACTTGAAATGCCCTGTGGTCTTTCATCCCCATAGTTAACTCTTGAGTAAGATCCATCATCACTCAACTATAACATTCACCTCTTAGCATAAGCCTTCTATATTCTTCCCAAAATATACTTCATCAGTGCTGACTCCACTTGAAAAAAAACCCAGAAAACTGTACATTTGCAAACTGTAAAAACTCAGTGAATTTGAAGTATCCAGTTGTTTCTTAAAAATAATTCACCATATTTCTTTGAGGATTTTATGTCATATTAAAGGATTAATTCCTAGTTTTTCATAAAATCTAGGAAAATCTTCCTAATTCCAATTGGAAACGATTCCTCATTCCACTATCATTCAGTTAAAAAGAATGATGACTTACAATAATAATAATATAAGTATTAACAGCCAGAGGGGGAGAGTGATGTCCAGTTAATGGTGCAGATGAATCCAGGTATCAGTGGAGGAACCATGCCCATCCTCACTGTATTCTCTCTCCCTCAGGATCTGGTCTGATTCCCACCTAGGGTCATATCCTCCTGATCTGAAATTTCACTGTCTTTTCTTGACATGAGGTGCATGTTATAGACATTAATTGATGTACTCGGATTGACTTGTCCTGTTGGTTCCTCTTTGGCTATAAAGTTATCTTTTGTGTGTATTAGGTAGGCACAGCAGGGCCAAGAAGGGAACAGGATTCCAGAAGGCGGCAGGTTCTCGAAGGCCTTGATTTGCTGGCCTCTCTGACAAGCATAGAGTCCCTTCTTATTCCAGGGAGTTCCAGTACCTCAGAAGTCCTGAGATTTAAAATAAAAAACCCCCAGAATATCAATGTCCCAAATTTGTTCAACTGCATTTTGGAAGATTATTTTGATACATTTCTGTGTAATCTGTGAAAGGAACTATTGAGGACCACCCTAGAACATGTCTTGTAGTGACATCACAAATATGATGGAAAGTAGCTGTTTCTGTTCTCCTTACTTGTGTTGTATTGCTATTCTTTGTGATATAAAATATTTTCTAATCTTGAAATGTTTTAGTCTTGGGTAGCAAATTAGGAAAAGCCAATTAGGTTAGTAGGTTAGAGATAAATCAGCTAATAAAAGTGGAATGGTTATATAGAATAAAACTGGAAGGAAACATTACCATATTGTTGGTATCTTGTTAAAAAAATAGAATGCATAAACATGTCAATGTACTGGAAGGAGTTTGCCAAAAATATACTGGTAATAGCTTACTCCTGTTAATTAAGTTGTGGAGGATTAGGAAAATTAAATGAAGTGCTATGATGCTATTATGTAAGACTAATAGACTTATTTGAAATAGTAGCGTTACTCAGAATCAGACCTTTATTCTCTAAAGTGGTAAATAAAACTATAACATACAAAAGAGATGAAGACTTAAGGTAATAAAGAATGTTACCTTGTTAACATTCTAATAGTTGGAGGTCATATTGAAAGGAGGAACTACTTTTAAATGAGGCTCAAAAATAGCTGACACTAAATGGGAAATTTCCCAAATTATTTCTTCACAAGATACCAAAAGTGTGTTGTAGAGGGCTGACCTCAGTATCTAAATGACTTTTAGAGGCATAGAATTGGAAAAGATATGGACCATGAATAGAGTAAAATCAGAGGGAAAGAACTTACAAGATCCCCTGGCCTTGTTCTCATGCAATGTGATAAATTAATTTAAATTAATTAATTAATTTCATTAATTAATAAAATGAAATGAAATGGCAAGGCCTAAAGGGGATTCTTACTAAAAATGATTAAGTACATTTGTTTGTTTGTTTGTTTTACACCAGTTTTAGCTATAGGATTTTCATAGATATGCTTGTTTCATCCAGATCGCTTGAATAGAACTAGTGCCAGTTGATTGTGCTTATTTTAGAAAGTCAACTAGTTGCTGTCTGAAAATAAATCCGTAGCAGAATTTCTCTGATTATATAAACATCAGATGATGAGCATGTCTCTTTAATCTGAATGACACCCTGGAGTATTATTCTCTTTATTCTGCTCAGCTTTATGTAATTCTAGGGCTGGAACCTTAGCTATCACCAGGCCCACTGTTTAATTTGAAGAAGGGGAAACTGAGGCCCCAGGAGGGAAGGGATTTATTTGCCCAGGACCCCACAGCCATTTGGTGGCAGAGTTAGATGTCCTGCCTCCCAGTGCCTCCTCACTCCACCTGCTCAGGGCGCAGCTTGTGCGTCTCAGCTGTTGAACTCCCTTTGGCCATGAATCCCAGTGTGCTTCCATCAGCACAGTGGCCGACCCTTGGATTAAGGAGTAGATTAGCTGAGAGGAGAAATTCAAACAGAAACCTCTTTGGGGTTTTTACACAGGATAAACTGTACTATAGGGATTTCATAGGGGATTTCTTTAGTACTATTCATATTTTTCCATGAAGCCGAAACCTAAACCAGAAAGCAAGCAGCTTCTTTGTTCTGTAATAAACAATTTAGCTGACTTAGTAGAACATTTGTTTGCACCACAAAACCACCCTTCCCCTTGGAGTCACCTCCTCTTCCCTATATACACAACACATACACACGCACACACTCTCTGTCTCTCACACCTCACACTCCCAGCATTAGCCCTGCACTGACCGTGTCCAAGATAGTGCATCTCCTCAGGATATTGCAGAAGTTGGCCTCATTCCCCTACTAGAAATGGTCATCCCTGGTGATGGCGATTTATTTGCCTGACAGTGTGGAAGAGAGAGGGAGGGAACTAGCACATCTGAGCCAGGCGGTGTTGTAAACTTGAGCCGACCCTCTCTATTTTCCAATCTAGTTGTAATCATTTTCCTTCTTTTAATCTTTTTTGTAAGGTGCTTGAAGTGTTTTGGTAGTGCCATGCAAATGGAGTTGATTGTCGCTAATGATAATGCTGTACGTGTTGTATGCCAGTGATTTGCATCTATTTGATTTAATGGGCTATGCGGATTGTGTATTTCCTGCATTGTGAAACATGTAGTTGTAGAACCTTAAAAGTAAATAAAATATTAAAAATTTGAATAAAGTATTTTTCAAAATGCTCCACAAGTACATTATCAGTTCTTCAGCCATAGATTCACTTGGGCTCCTGAACCACTGGAATACGGGGTTTTGGGTTTCATTGCATGTACTTTGGGGCTCTCCATATGGGCAGGTTGAGGTCTCCCTACCTCTAAAATATACACTCCCTGTCTTCTTATCAGTTGTTAAATGCATCCCTATAGCAGAACAAGGCTTTTCCTGCTACTAATAGGAATGCACCTTTATATCTAAAAGCTACGAAGAAAGGTCAGAGATACAGGGGATTAAATTCACACAGAAGTGCAAATGGCTAAGGAGAGATCCTTTCTTCTGATAAAAGAGAGCAAGAGCACCCAGGACACTGGGAGAATGGAGAGGGGAAGAAAGAAAAGCAGGTAAGTCCACCAATGGGGAGTGAAAGTTCACAGGAAAGAATATAAAAGAGAAACTTGGCCCATGTTTGTTAATAAAAGGTACCAATTTTGAGAGTTCAAGTGAATAAGCTTTCTGTTGTGAATTTAGGTTTTGTTTGTTTGTTTGTTTGCTTCATATTTGGAGCATTTTGTGAATTTATGTTTAGTCAGTTACTATAATTTATTTATGCATTCATCAAGCATTTTTTGAATGTATATTCTGTGCCAGGACCTATAATGGACATTGAGGACCCAGCAGTAGAAGTCATGTTTCCTGTCCCCAAGGAACTCACATCTAGTGGGGGGGGACAGATGAGGGGAAGACAATCACAATGCAGTGTGGTGTGAAAAGTTACCTCTAGAAAGGCCGAGAACCTTTACTGCTGCCTTATATAAGGATATCTGAATTGATTCTTGAAGATTTTGTATGAGTTAATCCAGAGGCCTTCAAACCTTTTTACTCAAAGTAAGAAATACATTATTCATCATGGCCCAGTAAATACATACGCACATAAAGCTGAAAGAAGAATCATCAAAGTGTACCTTTTATGTACAGTAAACTTTGCTATTTTCCATTCTATTTGTCTTCCTCTTTTTTAAAAAAAAAGTGAAGGTCACAACTCATTAACTTGATTTAATAACTCACTAATGGGTTGTGATCTACAGCTTGCAGATGGAGTAAACAAGGAGGAGCATTCCAGGCAGATGACACAGTACATAGGCAGGAGAACACATCTTCACTACGTTACAGTTAGCATCTCTGGAATCCCCAGACCCTTGGTGTTCTAGCCAACTTGGAAGGCGGTTCTCCCTGGCGTAGATGAGGAAGTAGAAATGGAGGGAAATGTTTGTCAGGCATCTTCTGTGGGTCACCCATTATGTTAGTGTTTGGCATATATTTCCCCGTATGATTCTCGCAACACCTTGAAGAATCAGGGGATATTTCCTCCTATTTTACAGGTGAAGAAAGTGAGACTCGGAGGAGG